TTTTCTTATATGTTTATTCTATCTATCTATCTATCTATATATATATATATAGTTTTAATATAATAGTTTATAATATTTTAATACTTTATGTTTAAGGTATACGCGGCTGATGGAATGCCACAAATGATTTGTAATATGTGTCGTTGGAATCTCGATAGATCTTATAAATTTAAACTTCAATGTAAAAAAGCAGATGAAGCATTACGAGCTTATCCATTATCTGGTGTCTTACCAAGACCATTCCCACCAATTCCAAATGATCCTCCTGATATGAACAATAAACGACCTTCGGAGCAAAGACCTCAAAGTGATGGAAATAAGAAACCTCGAGTTGATAATGGTGATAGAGAGAGAAGAGAAACACGGGAAAGAGATAGGGATAGAGAAAGAGACAGGGAAAGGGATAGAGAAAGGGAAAGGGAAAGGGAACGCGAAAGAGATAGAGAACGTGACAGAGAAAGAGAAAGGGAAAAGAAGAGAAGAGATAGACAAGAAAATCAAAGAGACAAAGAGGATCAACATGATTTTTATGAAGAAGAACAAGATGCTGGTAGCGAAGGAGATCAAGATACGAATAGTGCTAAAGAGGAACAAAAATTAGAGCCAGGTGAGATAAGAGTACATGCGTGTGATCAATGTGATCGTACGTTTCCTTTGCGACAAGCTCTTGCTTTACACATTCAAAGAGCTCATCGTGATCGTAATTACAAATGCACAGTATGTGACCGCATGTTTTTTTCTAAATATGATCTTGGAAAGCATATGACTACTCATTCGGAAGAGAAACCGTTCTCTTGTCCAATTTGTAACAAACAATTCTCAAGAGCAAATTTATTACAACGTCATGAGAAAGTTCATAGAGATGAATTGCGCTATGGTTGTCAACATTGCGATCGTGAATTCTTTACAACAGAAGAATTAGAAAAACACGAGGATTCTGTACATAAAAAGGAAAAACCGTTCCAATGCAATATTTGTAATAAACGTTTTACATACAAACAAGGCTTGGAACGTCATGAAGTGCTACATAACGAAGATAAAACTTTCGTTTGCGAATATTGTAAGGAAGCATTCCGTACAAGTACCAAGTTAGCTCGTCATTTAACGACTCATGCTGGACATCGACCATACTTATGTAAATTATGCCCACGTTCATTCCTCTTATCCCATCACTTAACAAGACATATGCGAACTCATTCTGTAGAAAAACGTCATGTTTGTGAAGATTGCGGTAAAGCATTCAAACGTAAAGAGAGTTTGGAAGTACATCAATTAACGCACACAAAACGCACAGGTATGGGTTTAACATGCGATGTTTGTCAGGAATCATGTAGAAACAGAGCAGATTATGTTACACATATAAAGCAACATATTGAAGCAGGTGAAAAAATGGGACCAGATGGATTACAACCTGATAATAAAACCAAACTTGAATTGGATTCCGACGAGGATGAAGAGGAAGAACAATACTCGGATGGAGATGATGATTACGAACCGCCAGCATATATTGTGAAAAAACTTCCAAAACCAAACAAACCATCGGAAAGCGAAGAAGAACCAGAAGCAACAGAAAAAGAAGAAAATCAAAAAGAACAAGTTGTATATGTAAGAAACAAAGATGGAAATATGATTAAAAAGACAATTAAAACTTTGATGCCTATTCAACGTAGAGAAGTACAAGATACTAAAATAAAACAAAGTCCCTCGGGTAATCAATCTCAATCAAATACGAAACCTTTGCAATCTAAACAAACCGAGGAATCCTCAAAGTCTTCCCGTGTAGATGAAACAGAAGCACAAGTACAAAAAATTGTTGCATCTGTGTTTAAAGAACATAAAATACCGCTAAAACATCAAAATGTTCAAGAACAAAGTAAAGAATCATCTATATCTACAAATCAATCTAGATCGCAACAAGGACAAAGTAGTTCACAAAATCAAGTTTCTGTGAAAGATGAAAAATCTGAAACTCCCGTATTAGTCAGTGGGACACCGAAAGCTGTAAATACTGTTAAAGTGATAAAAAGAATTGTTGTAAGAAAACCAGGCGGTAATACCGAAACTAGTACATCTACGATAAAAGACGAGGATGGTACTCCTCAAACTCTTAGTACAGGCCATAAAGTAACAAAAAGAGTAATTGTTCGTAGAATTATTCGTCAAGGAGATACTACCCGAGAGATAATCATGAATCCTGATGGTACAATAATCGATCCAGCGGAATTGGCCAAGCTTCCAACTGGTAATGTTGTGAAAAGAGTTGTTGTAAAAAAGCCACTTGATAAGCATCAAAGTTTGGTACAAGCTGTATTACAATCATCCACCGAATCACGACAATCTACTTCGATAAAGAATAACGATTCCGTATTGAACGAATCACCGAAATTTGAATTAAAGACATCTCAATCCATAAATGCATCACCTTCAGTAACAAAAACGTCTACATCTACAGCACAAAAACCTACAATAACCGTAGGAGATCAAGAAACTAAAGAAAAATTGGAACAATTGGAAAAAAGAGTAGAGCAACAACGCTTAAAAATAGAAGAATTAGAAGCTCGTAAACAACAAGAATATGAACCTATTGAGGAAATGTCACCAGAACGTCATGATGAATCTGATGATGAACAACAATTACCATTGAAAAGAGTATTTGTAAAGAAGAAACAAAGTATGTATGACGAAGAACAAGAATATAATGATAATGATGTAACAATGGTTTCTGTAACAACACCTATATCAACTTCTATAACGACTCCAACGACTTCTGTAACAACTCCAACAACAATAAAAATAGAAGATATTAAATCTGATGTTGAAATAGAAAAAGAGAAAGAAAAAAATAAAATTGAAGTACAAGTAGAAAATATATCAAAAGATGTTTCCATGATACCGAAATCAGTTTCTATAACAACAGCAATAGCTACAACGCCAGTAACAACAACAACAGTAACAAGTGCTACTATTAGAAAAGAAGGTAAACCATTAATAACCAGTTCTAAAGTTTATGGAAATAAGAAAATCATTGTTGTAAAAACGGGAGAATCATCGGAAGTGGAAGAAATGAGTCGAGAATTATGTAATATATTAGATTCATCCGATTCTGTTGTTAAAATGCAAGAATCAATTCTAAGTAATCTCACTCAAATTTCTTCTTCTCTTGGAGAATCTTCTCAAAAAAATAATGATGATAAAGCAAAAGCTGGACCTTCGAACTCAGAGGATTATTTGATAAAGGAAGAATCTGCTAAAACCGATTCCCAAGACCAAGAAATGGATATAAAATTAGATAATTCAGTCTCTATGGATGTATCAGATTCCCAAGTATCTGATGTTAAAATAGAATCCGAAGAACAAATTATGGAACAACCCGAACAAAATTCAAACTTAACTATAGATGAACAAGATCTTTCAGAATCCACAGATATTTTTGAACCATCAGACAATGTATTAGAGGTACAAAAGAGTGAGCTAGGTGATTCTGTAATAGAACTTGATCATGAAAATCATACAATCAATTTAAATGATACTAATGACAGTCAAGATAGTCTTGAGGATAAACTTCAACAAATGGAAGGTTAAACTTTCTACTAGGAATAATAAAATAAACTCTGACTTAAAATTTTATAAATCCTAATTTGATCAATATTACATTTTAAATCATAATTTTATAAATTCAAAACTTAATGTCTATACAATTTAGACAAATATAGATAAACATTTTCATCGTTCTAGAATTCTGTTAAATTTGTCATTCATAATCAAATTTTAGAATAGCTTATATATTATTATCTTACATATAAACTTCCTTCTCTTTAATTTTTTCCTGTGTGATGATTGAAGCATTATATTTACAATGTTGATTATTAATAATAGTAGTAAAGCACAATAAGTTAGTGCCTAGTAATTATATTCCTTTCATATATAAATTAATATAAAATTCATTAACGTTTTGTATCTATAACAAAAAATTTGTTATCTTCATTCGAGCGAGAATATATTATAGGCATATTAAAAATCAAGTGTGAAAGAAATTGTAAATTTAAGAACTCATTTTAGATATTTGACTTATTGTCTAGTATTTGTGCATTCAAATATCAAACGTAAGGAATTTGTATATATATATATGCCGGACGTTATACTTTATTTCGAACCTTCTTTGCTTTCATTTATTGATAAAAATTTTTTTTTTCAATGCTACGTTATATTTTCTTACTATTGGTACGTACAATTGATTCCTTTATTGGGAATACAAAAGATATTTTGATGAATTAAACTTAATATTGCTATTTAATCGTAAAATATGCTAATTCTATCAGATTAGAATGAACACGGTACATAGATTTGTCTGATATTCTATAAACTTGAAATTATGTATCAAATACAAAGTATGATGTGTAAATGTAAAATTTAGTGTTGATTATTTTTCGGAAATACCTTTACCGCATATTTAATACAAATAACACGTCATAATACTTTCGTACAAAACATTTATGTTTTATTCGTTACAATTGATTATAGCAAATATATAAACTTAAGTGTACATTTTATTATTACATTTTATTACACGATTATACATGTTCAATTATATTTTAATATATAATCTATAAAAAAAAAATAATATAAATTTTGAGTTTTTAGATATAAAATGTAGGAGCGAATGACATTTGAATGGTTATTAATAATAAGAATGTATAAATATTGATTAAATACTGAAAATACATTATCATTAGAATTTATAAATTAAATATTGCATGTTATATTCTAATTATACAATAATTGTATAATTATAATTTAAAATATAATAATATCGATAAATATAAAACATCATAAATTATTATTAGATTAATTGATATTGGCATTTGTTACGATTTTATACGATTTTTTATATCGAAACTTGGTAAATATTTTAATACAATATAAAAAATTACGTTTAATTGTATCATTTGAAATGACAAGAGTTTTCATTTAATCGTTTATCGATAGTTTACGAATATTTTGCGAGTAGTTTGTAACGATAAATAGGTTACATCTTGGAAATGACGGAAGATGTCGACACTATATAAAATTTTTGTTCGGCAGAATCGATCTTTGGCTTGCAATAATCATTCTTAATCAAATCTGATATAAAGGAACGACTTGAAATTACAGGTAAAGTATATATATTATATATATAAACGAACATATATATATATATATATATATATATATATCTGTCCATTCAATGATGTAATGTCATCAGATATATATATTATTTCGAGACAAATTGCACAAACTTGAAACACACTTTTCAATTATGTCAATATTACTTTCTTCGTTGGAAAATATTTAAATAGTTTTGCTTAATAATGACGCGATGATTAAATAATAACATAAAACTCACTTATTTTAGGCATATAAATCATTACATAGATAATGATCGAAACAGTTGGAAATGCGATGGTTAGCAGTAGTTAGAACATCAAGCAGGATTGTCTTTCTTCTTACTGGTAAGACTCTGTAGCTGTAAAAATAATACTAAGAATATTTTCGATTTCATATGAAATTTATCATATGATAGTAAAAAAAAAAAAAAAAAAAAAAAATACATATTCCCGTCTTCGAATTCGTTTATTCGTGTCGATGTTTTTTTAAAGTCCACCGCGTCCACTGTCTATGTACTCGAACTTCTGTAGGGCAGAGACGATTGAAAATTTAAAAAAAAAAAAAGAAACATCTTATCTATCTATGTGCTTGCATACTCAATGAAATTGTATAATTATCTATCGTAATTCTTTTAGAACGGTAAGAGTTTTCTCTCAATTTTTATAAAGTAAAATATATTCGTTTTTTTTTTTTTTCTTTGAATAATTTTAGAAAAATGAGTCTTTACATTTACTATACCTCCTTCTCATCTGTTGCGGCCACGGTATACGCTGTATTGGAATTTTCAGGTTCTTTCGCAGGACCAATCACAAACGCGTAGATCAATCCAGCTGCCATCCCGCCAAGGATTGGTCCGATCCAGTATAACCAATGATCGGCGAATGAACCCATTACAACAGCGCTACCAAATGATCGGGCTGGATTCATACCTGCACCAGTTCTTGGCACCTATTATAAAAATGATACAACAACATATCACAATATATCTTCGTTTCAATTAAATAATATGAACAATATAAGATACGCATAAATGTGAGCGAGTTCATTTTCAAATATTCTGCGAAAAAATGAATTGCCAATACGCATCTTTAAGATTATTACAATCATGAAGGGTATACATAAAATTGCAAGACAGAAAAAAAGATGGGAAATATTAAATTTATTTCTTACGCCGATGATATGGCCAACAGAGACCGAAAGTCCAATTATAAGAGGGGCTATTCCCTTGCTGTCTGGCTTTGCTGCGTCGCATGCACCGCACACGACCAGAACTAGCACGAAGGCAAGGAAAAATTCTATACCGAAACCTTGGACGGGGGTGACACCTGGTGAGAGAGATACTACGCCCAGAGCATGTTCCATCCTTTCAGGAGATAATGCTCTTAATATACCAGATCCCGCTATTGCGCCTATGCATTGAAGTATTACGTACAATAAGCCTCTAATAACTGGCACCTGCAAAACAATATAAATAGACGTTTAATAAATTTTATTTAAATCGTCGCTTTGTCAAAAATTATTCGTTCTTTAATAATACACACAAGAGTGGTCTTTCACTATTCCTATCTTCTTTCTTACATCATTATCGAACGATTCTATGAATACGTATTATCCGTGCTCGCGTGTGTGTCATGTGCATTTTCTTGAGAAATAAATGACTAAATCGTATTCTGCAGAAGCAAGAAGAATGAATTACAATCGATAAATCATGCCATTAGCAATCACTTTAACCGGCGTCCAACAAATAATTGCACGTTTGCGGGTAACAAGGTAACGGAAGAATATTAAATTACAATTATAATAAATCAAACATGTGTAAAGAAAATAAATAACGATCTCTCCCTTACCTTGCCAATAACCATTAAACCGAACGTGACAGCGGGATTAACGTGGCCACCGGAAACGTGTCCTACTCCTTGAATCGCTGTAGCCACGGCCAAACCAAACGCCAAACTTATGGCCACGACGTTCCCAGTGATGACAGATCCGCAACCGAAGAAATTCAGCAACAGTGTACCAAGAAATTCTGCGACTAGAGCACGATAAAGGCCCGCCTTCTTGTCGGTAAGCTCGCTTGCGCCCAGGGCCTGTTTCAAATTTGTCATCTGTAAAACGATTGCGCTTACGATTAATCGTGACTTTCGAAGCCGAAACGTACAAGTTGAAACGTTTCTTCTATTCGATATATAGAGAATCAATCATAGATGGTTTATGGTCCATAAGAAGCAACGACCAGTTTTTTTCGAATTTAATTCCATGGCGTTTACGGTCCCCCCAGTTTGTTCGATCCTTGAATGATTGTTGGCGAAGGAAAAGATTCCGAAGGAGAACTCGAATTTTTTGCTCATTACGTCATTAAAAAAAAATTGCTCGAGGTGAGTTAAGAAAATTTTACCCTACTTGTTCTAATCGACTTTTTTGATTTTTATCCAAAGTTTCACTCAAGTTCTGACCACAAGAGGGAGTCGAAGAAGAAGAAGAAGTTTATTCTATTTTTCTTATTTAGCCTCCTCCTTTCTCCTCCCTCGAGATGAGAGAAACAATTTAAATTTGACGCGATTAATAATATTCGATGGACACGTTCGTTAACCAGTTTGAAAATGAAGCCGGCCGATCGTTTAGCAGTTCCGTCGATTCGCGTCATGGATTTAGATCGAGGACGCGGCCACGTGCGACGTGTATGTAACGCATGTGTCGTTCGCACCGCAACAAAATTACAGTTGGAGTTAACGAAACGTTGGGTTAACGCGTCCAGGTTGCATTACGCATGCAGATCGTCATATCCTCGACGGAGTATCCCGATCGAATTATTTAATCATTCCTTGTAAAATGCTCGGCTAATCGTCACCCACGCCGCGAGTCGTTTCGAGTCTTGCGTATTCGACGCAAATATCTTGGCTGGCCTAGATCTAGGTCAGTTCCTCTCAGTAATCCCTTTTGTAATTTTCGTCCTACCTTCACGACGATGAGCACGTACGCGTTACGATCGCGATTTTCTAATAAAATCTCATTCGACCCTCTCTCGTCTTCGTGTAATCAAAATCACGAGTAATAAAGTGTATATGGATAAAATTTTCGTCGGTTCTGAGCCGACGAAAAGATGCGCTTCCGTAAAAGAACGAGTGTACGTTGACGAGTTTACGATAACGAAAGAAGAATTTCATTCGATTCAACGATGAATTTAATCCGGGTGAGATCATCAAACCACGCCATTCTCGCAATTTCCACGCCGCGACGCGTGTCACGTGCCCGTTGTTAATCGTTTCCAGCTACCTTTTTCCTTCTCTCGTGATCTTTCTCTCGTGACAATGACACGAACGTGCGAAACGTGCCACGCTATTTTAATCTCGAAATTTTTTCCTCGCGAAAAATGTTGACGAACCTTTACTGATGATTCGTGTTTATTGTATGTATATATTTGAATGGAATATTATATATATATATATATATACGTTTCTGCGATAACAGTTTGAACATGCATTTTATCTCGTTCAAGCGTTAAGAATCGGTTCACGTGTATAGAAATGCAATGCATGGTCGTGCATCGATTATTTGATCATCGATGAAACATTTCGAGAATTGATTGAAATCGCGAGTGACAGGATCTTCTTCGTCGGGAACAAGTTTATTACAAGTTTTGATTATTAAGGAAATTCGAAGCAATCGAGTGCAAAATTAAATTCGATCGTAAAAAACTGGCAAGGCATCTGGTACGCCTCGTGTCATTATAAAAATGTCGTTTAATCTCGATCTCCAGTTCGAAAAAAAATTCCTGCGATTTAATTTTATCCTTGAAATTCGAAATTTTCGCGAATTATGATTTTCAAAACGCGTCTCGTCTCAAATCTGAGAAATATATATATTCTCATGCTCGTGTTAAAATAAATTGTAACAATGTCGTATTTTCCAATTTTCCACGATCCACTTACCCCCCCCCCCCCTCATAATAATGCATAATTTCGATTCGGTAAACATTTTTCCATCCACTTTCACGAAGCAATTAAAACCTGTAATCACCGTGCAACTTTTCCTACAACTCGTTTCCCGGAATTCAATGCAAACAGAATCATTTACCTTGGATCCATGCAACCTCGTTAAATTACCTTGTACCTTTCCCTACGACTTTTATCGCATCGTTTGTTTGACGATATCGCTTTTCATCCTGTCCCAGGATATCGTATTTAACTTATAGAGACAGACGAGTTAAATTAATTTTCTTTCGTCCAAAAATGGCAATTTTTCTTTTTAATTCCGTCGAGTCCTTCGATCGATCTCGCACAAATCTCCACTCGTTCGATTTGATGAGTGTTGCGCGCATCGCGATGCGCGATGATCGTCACCCTTATAAGGCGTAGTGCGCAGGTGCGCGATATCTCTCCTTATCTCTACTCATCTCTTTCTCCTTTACCCTGTTTTTCTTTAATGGGCGATAACGATGCTATTAAAAGTTATTATATTGCCGTCACCGTCCTATTGCGCGAGTTTATTTGAAATTTAGCTTCGGGACACAAACTTTTTTCCCCCCCAAAATTTCACCGTTGTTTATAGTAGTTTTTTTCTCCTCCTCGAAACTTTATTTTTGCCTCGAAGTGTATAAGTTGCAATACATGTGTGTATACACACACACACACACTAATAACGTTTAAATATCGTTCGAAATATAATCGTTTTTTTAGTTTTCTCGCGCGAGAAAATAGCAAGTATTATTTACAAATAATTTTTATTTAAAATTTAAGTTTTTTTTTTTTTGTATATCTTAATTGCACGTATCTGAAATAGTTGCTTCGTAACTGTTATATATGTGGTATATTTATTCGCGGTTTCTTTTTTCTTTTTTTTTAATAAAACTTGTTACTTGGGCGAAGCTAATAATAACGTTCATTAAGCCCTCAACAACGCTCAAATAAAAATATAGAAATATCGCTTCGGCATTTATCAAAATGACTTACACGCTGTATATCTATATTTATTGTGCCTTTGACGGTTATTCCGCATATAACTCTTTCTCCTGTTCCCATCATCGCATTAAATCGCAGTAAAATAAACCTCATTTCTGTGAAAATAACGCTTCCGTGAAAAAAAATTTACACGAACAATTCAAACGAACGGAGCGATTTTCTTTCGCGCGAAAAATGTATCGATATTTTTTCACGAGAAATTTAATAATCGATTGTTACGATTATAATATAATTTCGAGTGATTAATCATAAAAAAAGAAAAAGAGGTGAATACTTTCGAGCGGAACAGGGGAGGAGAAGGGCTGGAAATCGAGTCGAGTAAAGTGAGCCAAGCGATTGAACGAACGAAGAAACTCACCCTGAAGATGGTCCAAGTCAATTGGTGAAAGTTTTCTGTGAAATTTTCAGCGATGGATCCAGATGACAAGGTTGAACTGTGACAGCGAACTCTTCAAAGCGAATGCGCTCCGCAAGAGTTGGCGAGCGACAACTGTCTCGGTGTATAGAGACCAACTGGTAGGTATCTAACTGCGTCTGTTCTGGTACTCTGCTAGATGTTACCAGAGTAGGGATATCACGGTTAAAAGGAACGGCGATCTCCAGGTAACATCGTTGTTTTAATTCTTCAGCCGTATGAGGCGCACACAACCCGAGATACGAGAGAAAAATGCTAATTATACATTTCGTTATTTAAATTATGTTCTTTTTATTTTAACATCGTACCAATTGCAATTTTGAATTCGAAATTTCGTTCTCGACGAAAATGATTCTTTGAGATCGTTAAATTTTAATCCGTATAGATAAATGATTATAATTTCAAAATTATTAAAGAAACTTCGATGCAATTTTATGTATATGTAAATACATGTGATAGCGTCTATCCATTAATTTTTATCATCTAATAATTTCTACTTGATTGTAGCTGCAATGTACAGAAGATGATCAGTCTACTACACTAAATGAGATATATTTATTCGATAATAATCCATCTACCGCATGTTTATGTCCGCATCCCGTTTTTTATCGTATCATTTGCAATTATTGTTAATTGTTATTACAGTAAAGATTAAATATTAAATAATTTTTTAAGTATATTGCGAGCGCGTTACAGATAAAAAAGAAACTCGATACGTTTTCTTTTTATTATCTTTTTTGTTCCACGATAAAATACTAATACCAATATATTTATGATGTTAGTTTATTACGGCAAAAAATGCCGTTTATCTCTTTCGGCTTCTTATTCGCCAACATTGCGTTTTCGCCAACCAATCCGAGATGTAATTAAACGAGAGTAAAACCACGATGTCCTTCGTGGATTAACGAAACAAGGAAATTGAAAGCAAGTTTTTCTATTAATGTATCATACATACACGAATTATGAAAGAATCTAGAGAGGAAAAGGAATGTATAAGTTTTGTTGTAATATCGATACGAATAGTAGTTAACACAATTCTAAAATTCGTCGAATCATAAATTAAATTGTTGGTATGATAAGTAATTTTACTTTCTATATACTCTTCTGATCGAGTAATCGATGTTCGTTCTTTTGTCGGTATCTATTGTCTTCGATACTCGGAACGAGTGGGTTCATATTTTCCAGTTAGAAAACGGAAACATAAGTCGCCACCGAGACTTCCGCGTAGAACAGCCGATGCAGAACGTTCCTACTTGCTTATTCTCGATCACATTGAAGGGAAATCCTTTGAATTAATTCCTCATTATTTCTTTCCTTCGGATGATCGAGTAAAAAGAAAGACGTTTATAGAAATCACTCTGCAAATTGTTGCATCTATTAATTATTCACAGTTATTTCGTTGAACTTTTCGGCCTAACCTCAACTTCGATTCGATCCTTCGAATTTTTACGAAGGAACATAAAAAATTCTTGAAATAAAGGAATTACGAGTTTCGATTCAAAGGTGACTTAATATAATTACATTAAAAATTTTGATGGACTGTGTCTGTAAAAATGTCTCCTTTCGTAACATTTTGTTTCGACTTAACTTCAACTTCGATTCGATCCTTCGAATTTTTACGAGCGAAAATAAAAAATTCTTGAATAAAAGAATTATGAGTTTCGATTCAAAGATGTTTTAATATAATTATATTAAAAAATTGAGTAACTGTTTTTGTAAAAATGTCTCGTCTCCTTTCGTAATATTTTTTTTTTTTTCGATCTAACCTCAACTTCGAATTTTTACGAAGGAACATAAAAATTCGTGAAACAAAAGAATTAAAGAGTTTCGATTCAAAGATATCTTAGTGTAATTGTATTAAAAATTTTGATAGATTGTTTGTATAAAAATATCTTTTCGTAATATTTTTCTGTCGATCTAATCTCAATCCCTTCGAATTTTTACGAAGGAACGTAAAAATTCGCGAAACAAAAAAACTATGAATTTCGACTCAAAGA